GATTATGGCAAATCGTCGAGGTTTTTCCCTCTCCCAGGAGCACCGCGTGGTGCCCTTTCCCTTCTGCTTCTCATAGTTCTGGGGTTGGCTTGCCTAAAAAAAAGAGAGAGAAATCAATGGGTCTGAAGACTTCCTGCTTTCCACAGAAAGTTCCCTTTCGGGAATAAACTGGGGTTTTTGGTCTCTTTCAATCCAGGGGCAGGGCTGCAGCCGGATGGGGCAGCTCCCTTTAAAAAAACAAAAATAGTAATAATACAAATAATCCCAAATCTGCAACTGTGTCCTTAATTCAGTTAAATTTAAACACCTTTAATTGGCATCCTACAAAATGCTTCCCGGGTGTGTTCAAGCTCCTAAGTTGTCCTGTGTTCTAACCCGGTTAGAAGCCGAACCAGGATGGCGTCTTGTTTGATGCTAATTAAGTTTTGTCAACTATGGAAGAGGGTTTTTCTCCCCCCCCCCTTTTGGGTTAGCACAGCTGTAATACTTATGATTATTTGCCCGTTGGGTGGGAAAGACCATTATTGCTTTTACTTTACTAATTAAATATTTTCCTTAGCAAATAGCTTTGCACAATCGATTAGCAGCTGCAGGGGAAAAATAAGGAAATGTCTTCAATAAATGATAAATTACCTTAGCGCAGTTATTGTTTACAAGGGCACCTGCTTTTTGCTAGCTGTAGGAGCTAATGACAAGCTTTGCTTGCTTCCATTATCGGCTCCCTCAACTATTGTTCTTGCTGTCAAAAAAAAAAATTACATAAAAGGAAGCCTGGTTTACATCTTTCCCTTTCAGCTTTTGTATTTTGCTAATGTCAGGTTACGTGGGAGTAGCAGTATTTTTATCTCTTTTCAAACACTAGTTGTTATATTATTTTTGTCAGTGCTTTATTGTTTTGTTGGTGCTTGTGCCTTGAAAGCAAAGACAGCCACAATAATGATCTTGCAAAAATAATACTGTTGAATTAAGGCGGGCAGTAATTGCAAGATGGCCTCTACTCTTGAAGATTTAAATTTTAGTTTAGAAGTTCTTCCTAAAATGTTATAAATCCCTCCCGCACCAAGTCCACTAAAGTGGGCATCTATATTAAGTTAATAATGATAATTTTCAAAGGCAGTCTCCACCTTCACTCCTCCCCCCACCCTCCTGCGTCCTTGGATGCATATCTTTCAGCCACCAAGGCTGAAAGTGGAGCCTCTTGTTTTTCCTTTCAGAGGAGCATATATCAAAATATATGAAGAGCTGTTTTCATTGGTAGAAGAGGGAGCTGGTGCAGATTGATCTTGATTTAAGCAAAGCGGAAACATCAAGCCTTTTGAAAAAGCTTCCTTTGCAAGATGTGTTTGGGCTATGTGCAAGTAACACATTGCTGTCCCCGAGGACTCGAAGCTCTCTTGAGAATCCTCCATCCCCAGCTGTGAGGGGCCTGGCTTTTTTTTTTTCCTCCCTGAAATAAAGAGATTTTAGAACCAGGAAGGGAATGCTAGCCAACAGGCAACCTGAAACGTTCCTGGAAAATGGCGTCGGGCGGGGCCGTAACCTGTGGCTTTGCTTCTGCAGGAGAAACTGCAGAGGGAATCCCAATTGCCTGGTGGGGATTGGAGAGCACATTTGGCTGGGGGAGATTGACGAAAACACCTTTCACAACATCGACGATCCCAACTTTGAGAGGAGAAAAAAGGTACGCGTTAAGCCTGAATTCCCCAACGAGTGTTAAGGAAAACAAACTAAACAGAATGTGTAGCGTAGTCAGATAGGCAGACAGGTAAATGTGTGAGATAAGTTTGTATTTTAGTTAACACGCAGTAAAAAACAGATACGCTTGTGCTATCAAAAATATAGTTTATTCCATTAGGAATTATAGCATAGTCAAACGGTCCATTAGTCAGGTATCATTTCAGTCAGTCCAGTCCAGGGGATACTCAATTTGCAAAGTCCGTGTTGAATAGCCAATGTCAGTTCACTTAAAATAAATCAGTCCGTATTATCTCTTCTCTCCGTTGAGAAATCAACACTCCTTTCTCTCCTCCGTTCCAGTAAGGAAAAACGCAGTCATCAATCCATCCAGTAATTAGGGATCAATAAGCCAGAGAGAGAGAGCTGCAATTGACTTGCTTCTTTTATGGTGCTTTTACAACCACACCCTTAATTACATTCTTGTAGTTAAAGTTACACACACTTTAACCAACAAACCATGATAACTTATTTATTATTTTTACCCAAACCAGTTAGGGTAAACAATGTTATCCCTAACAGTACGTCTATGGTTTTCTGGCCTGATCGAGAAGAGTAACTCTCCCCTCCCTCAATGCACCTCCTCACTTTTCCAGTTAGTCCTTAAATCTGCCACCCAAAATTGCCAAACCTGCCGTTTCCTCGATTCCCAAGACCTACGGAGGTTGGTTGGCTGCGAAGGATCCTGGTTGGGCCTGGGAGGCAATTTGGTATCACAAGGAGGGGGAGCCTCTGGCGATGTGAGACACACAAAGTTTCGAGTCAGCTGGGTCTTTCCTTGGGTATCCTCAAAAGCTGTGGAAATTGTGAGTCGGGTTTCTCTCAGGATGGGAAGCCACTTCGGAGTCGGTGCGAGTTGAGTGGGCATGTTCAGAATTTTTTTTTTTCCCCAAACGTATTTGATTTGGATATGTTTTTCTGGGGGTTTTTTATTTTATTTTTAAGCTAAGCATTTTAAGGACAGCAAGATAGAAAAGCATTTCAAAGCGGAATTTGTAACTTGCGCTTAGGTACGGAAGAATAGACCCATTGAATTGCGGCTGCAAAATCAAAAGTATTTTAACAAAGCATCGATGTTCTCTAAAACGCTCGGGGCGTCTTGCGCCACCAGCTCTCCTTTCTACAGGAACTAATTCCACTATTGTCGAAGGAGAAGAATGCTCTCTAGAGAAGATCTCACTAAAATTGCCTATCCTGCTTGCCTATTCTGCTTTTTGGCTGACCTCGTCTCTGATGATCTCTGTTTCACTTCTCCTTCCCCGACAGAATGCATTTGTAGGCCTCACCAACTTGGGGGCCACTTGCTACGTCAACACTTTCCTACAGATGTGGTTCCTCAATCTGGAGCTCCGGCAGGCGCTGTATCTGTGTCCGGTTGCCCGCCCCGAATACGTCACAGCAGAGAAGAAAGGTATTTTGGAGGCATCTTTGTCTGTTAGAAGCAAGTGGTTCTAAGATTCATCTGGTTTGAATGGTTGGCCGGGCCTAAATATCGTCACAATCCCCCTGCTTTGTACAGATAGTTTCCCCCAAAATAAGACCAGGTCTTATATTGATTTTTGCTCCAAAAGACGCATTAGGGCTTATTTTCCAGTTAGGTCTTATTTTGGGAAAAGTACAGTTCTGGCTGGCGATCCTAACTGGGGCTTAATTTTGGGGCAGGGCTTATAGCAATAGCGCTTAGACTTATATACCGCTTCACAGTGCTTTACAGCCCACTCTAAGCGGTTTACAGAGTCAGCCTTTTGCCCCCAACAATCTGGTTCCTCATTTTACTCACCTCAGAAGGATGGAAGGCTGAGCCATCCTTGAGCCTGGTGGGATTTGAACTGCCAAACTGTAGGCAGCTGCCTGCAGAAGTAGCTTGCAGTACTGCACTCTAACCACTGCGCTACAGCGGTTCTCTATATAATTATGAGCATCCTGAAAAAAATCATCCAAAAGGCTTTGTTTTCCAGTTTGGGTCTTATTTTGGGAGAAAACACGATAGTCCTCAACTTACCAGAGTTCATTTTGTGACCGTTCAAAAGTTACCGAAAAGCTTATGGCCATTTTCCACACTTTCCGACAGTTGCAGCATGTCATGGTCACATGATCAAAATTCAGACGCTTGGCAACGAGTTCCTATTTATGACGGTTGCAGTGTCCCGGGTCCTGTGGTCCCTTTTTGCGACATTCTGGAGAGCAAAGTCAATGAGGAATCCAATTTCACCGAATAACCGTGTAGCTTACTTAACAAATGCAACGATTCGCTTAAAACCCTCTTCACAGGTGTTTCACTTAGCAATATACATTTTCGGCTCAATTGTGATCGTAACTCCGGGACCATTTACAGCTTAGTTCACTTCCCAAATTCCGCTTGCGGAGATTGTTCCCATGTCACATGGAAGAGTTTGGCTTGTTAAGAGAAGGACGAAAGGATTCCTTCGCAGGTCCTAAGTTTGTATCCTGTGTTTTAATCAGGGTGGATAAAAATCGATGCTTTAAAAAAAAAAAAGTGGATTTTTTAAAAATTTAACTCGAATTTTCTTTTTACAAATTTATTTGAATAAAATGCTTTTGGAATAACAAAAAATCTATCTAAAGATAGTTTTCTGTTTCAGGTACGTTAGTACTTTGGTTTATTCAGCCTGAAATGGACCTTAAGTTATGTAGCACGAGGCTGTACTTTCTGCAATATTTACATTTTGGGTAAGCTCTGCAAGCTCTGCAAGCTGGGATAACATGCACTGCATTGATGCAGTCACACAATTTCACAGCAGAGATGGCAGTTGCTCTTTAAGAATTACGATGTAAATCGAGTTGATTCAAATCAAGGCTTTTCGTGATATAAGTCGTGACTTGAATCGACTTGATTTATCTCAAACCCACCATGGTTTTAATCAAGCCTTTGGTCTCTTTGCAGATTATGAACCTCAGACCATTTGCGAGCACCTCCAGTATTTGTTTGCCTTGCTGCAAAACAGCAAAAGGCGATATATCGACCCATCGGGGTTTGTGAAAGCACTTGGATTGGATACAGGCCAGCAACAGGTAAGGTTCGAGGCCCCTGCGTCAGCTTCCTTTCTTCTGCCTTGCTGTCCCTCAGAATTACACGTTTTGAGGAAAACCAGGAATCCTTTTGACAGTGGGATGTCAAAGCTTGGGGTGTCAACTTGTAAAACATTCCTACACTTGTTTCCAAGTTGGCATAAGAAGAGTGGGGGGGAAAGGACTTGGAGAAGCATACGGCAAATGAACTTAGAAGCACATTCCAACTTTATCTTAAAAAAGATTGTAGCTAAGCTACTGAAGCTTTGGCCCAGGAAAACACTTTAATTAGAGAATGTGATGGATGACACCTAGCCCACGTGCTTAATTGGAGAAATTGATTTATGGCACACCCGGGGCTGGGAGGGGAAGCAGGGTCACAGGTGATTGTAATTATTTATATCTTATTTATGTATATAAATAAGAATTGGCTTCATACAGTTTGTGCCAGTATGTCGGTCCTAATGAATTTTTTGAAGGTTGGCTCAAGGTTCATGATTTAGGGCGATCGCTGGAATCCTGACATGGGGTACTCGGTCAAAAAGTCCCGATGGAGGAGTTGCCATCTCCTCTTTCGGAGGATTTTCTGACAATAGAAATAGAATCCTTTATTGGCCAAGTGTGATTGGACGCACAAGGAATTTGTTTGGGTGCAACTGCTCTCAGGGTACGTAAAAGAAAAGATACATTCGTCAAGAATCATCAGGTGCAACACTTAGTAATAATCATAGGGTACAATAAGCAATCAAATCATACTAGGAAACAGAATAAAGCGACAATGTTACAGTCACAAGTGGGGGGAGGGATGGGTGATAAGGAGTGATGAGAAGATTAATAGTAATAGTAATGCAGACTTAGTAAATAGTTGGACAGTGTTGAGGGAATTAATTGTTTAGCAGAGTGATGGAATTTGGGGGGAAAACTGTCCTTGTGTCTAGTTGTTCTGGTGTGCAGGGCTCTATAAGCATCGTTTTGAGGGGAGGAGTTGAAACAGTTTATGTCCGGGATGTGGGGGGTCTGTAGATATTTTCACAGCCCTCTTTTGGACTCGTGCAGTATACAGGTCCTCCATGGAAGGCAGGTAGGTAGCAATTGCTATTTCCTGCAGTCCTAATTACTCTCCGGAGTCTGTGTCTGTCCTGTTGGGTTGCAGAACCAAACCAGGCGGTTATATAGGTGCAGATGACAGACTCCATCATTCCTCCTCTGTAGAACTGGATCAGCAGCTCCTTTTGGACAGGTTGAGCTTTCTGAGTTGGCGCAGAAAGAACCTTCTTTGTTGTGCTTTTTTGATGACGTTTTTGATGTTAGGCATCCATTTTAGGTCTTGAGATATGATAGAACCCAGAAATTAGAAGGCCTCTACTGTCGATAACTGGGTTGATACTGTGTTGATACTGTATAGTTCCCTTAATGGGATTAAAATGAGATGTTTGTGCCTCTGGCTACCCCTGCCCTGTTTTCCTTATGCTCACGCCCTGCCCGTTCTTACGTCCTAGGACGCTCAGGAGTTTTCCAAGCTGTTCATGTCCCTCCTGGAGGACACCCTGTCTTCTCAGAAAAACCCAGACGTGTGCGACATTGTCCAGAAGCAGTTTTGCGGGGAGTACGCCTACGTTACAGTGTAAGGCTTTCCCTCGCGCGGCGACGGCTCGCTTCCTCGTCCAAGCTTCGAGCGGCGGGGCTTCGGGCGCTCACGGCTGTCTCTGCTTTGCTTCTCCAGTTGCAACCAGTGTGGCCGAGAATCCAAACTTATCTCCAAGTTCTACGAGCTGGAGCTAAACATCCAGGGCCACAAGCAACTGTCGGACTGCATCACGGAGTTCCTGAAGGTCAGCGTCCCGCGAGGGAGAAGGGCCCAAACACAGCAGCCCTGGCTTTGGGAGTAGGCTAGAGACCTCGGAGGGTCTTGTCCCTGGGCTGATTGGTGGGGGGGGGGGTTGTTGATGACTTTGGGGGTCCTGCCGTGAGGCAGGTCGGGGGTGGCCTCTTCGAGCCTGCAACCAGTTTCTTTATTTTTTTTCCCTTCTCCCGGCAGGAGGAGAAGCTGGAGGGGGACAATCGTTACTTCTGCGAGTCCTGCCAGAGCAAACAGAACGCCACCCGGAGGATACGTCTGCTTAGCCTTCCTGGCACCCTCAACCTCCAGCTCATGCGCTTCGTGTTCGATAGGTGAGCCCCGAAGCCTTTGATTTAAGAACGGGATCCCATTCCCCGTCCGAAAGGGAGCTCCTTGGTGAGGGTTGAACTGAACAGGCTGGGCATATATGAAGTAGCTTCAGAACACACACACACACACACACACACACACACAGAGCACCTCAGCTCTTACATTTGTCCTGCTTACTTATTGTTTTCTGCCTTTCTTTGTGCAACTCAAGGTGATCTATTTAGAATTTAGAACAGGGGGTCTTCAAACTTGACAGCTTTTAAGACTTGTGGACTTCAACTCCCAGAATTCCTCCTCTTCCAGTCATGTTAGCTCAGGGAT